TATACATACATATGATTTGGATGTTTTAATCAAATAGACAGACTTAAATCCTTATGTTATGCTAATACAATATTTTGAGAGACTGCTTTGTAAGGTTATTACTACTGAAAGTAACAGTACAGTAATCTAATTTTGGCGTCGTCAGTTTATTGCAAGGCATCTGCTGGAAATAATCTGTAAATTAATGTCTTGGTCACGATGACCATGGAGGAATAAGCAGTCAATGCCTTGAGATTCCCATGGAAACCAACCATGCCCACTTTTCAGGACAGTTCCCCAAAAATTTACTTAATCCTGTTTTTTTCGCAGTTGATTGGTGGATTCTTCTTCTTTCTATTCCCGAAATGGGGATCCAGTTCACTCAAAGCATCTATGTTGAGCCTTCACGTCTTTACGGGGAAGTTTATATTCATTATGATGATAGCAACAGCATTAATGGGACTGACAGAGGTCGTCATTTATGACATGTGAGTGTTGCATTATACGGTAGTATTATGCAACAGTTTTATAGAAATTATTAGGCCATAATCAGGGAACACTTAACTGTTCCCAGGCCATAATTATCACATTATGTTTGACGTATTAGATAAAAAAATGTTTGACTATAATGTATCAAACAATAACATAATTTCTCATTTCACTTTGACAGAGTGAAACCAGAAGAGTTCCCTTCAGGCCTGATTGTTGCCAACATGTTTGGTTTGTGTATGCTCTTGTTCTGCGGGTGTATCATCACCATTTTACTGAAGCCTCAGTATCAAGCATCCTCATTGGCCAAGGATGAGACCATTCAAATGGAGATACACGATGAATAATGCGAGACAAAAATCAGCAAGAATGGTGTATTGTATTAGAAATAACTGCATGCATCTGCTTAATCCATAGTGTTAGCACATGCCCTTGCTTCAAAATTTTAATTAAATAATAGACACCAAGCATTTTTTTTATTTAACACCTGTTAAATTTTATACCAATCTTATTATTAATATCAAAATATTATTCACATTACTTTCTTGTATGTCAAAAAAAAAACAATTAAAATTATAAAATAAAATATATGTTATAAAATATAAAGCATAGTAACACTATGATGTGTAAACTGAACTGATATTGCTATGAAAAACCAAACAGAAGTTTAAAGTGTCTTTTGTTCATCACTAACATCTTTGTCCTAAGCTGTCTTCTAAATTGTATATACTTGTTCTTGTGTCATTCCTTTTAACACTAAAGAAAACGCATCCTCTGTTGCTTAAGTTGTTACTAAGTTTTACAGCAACATTTGTATCATAAATGTATCCACTGTTGCTCAAGTTCTTACTAAGTTTGACAGGAACATTTGTATCATAAATGTATCCACTGTTGCTCAAGTTGTTACTAAGTTTGAAAGCAACATATATATATGATAAATGCATCCACTGTTGCTCACGTTAATACTCGGTTTGACAGCAGCATTTGTATCATAAATGCATCCACTGTTACTCAAGTTGTTACTAAGTTTGACAGCAACGTTTGTATCATAAATGTATCCACTGTTGCTCAAGTTGTTACTAAGTTTGACAGCAACATTTGTATCATACATGTATCCACTTTTGCTCAAGTTGTTACTAAGTCTGACAGTAATGTTTGTATCATAAATGGTTCACTGTTGCTCAAGTTGTTGCTAAGTTTGACAGCAATATTTGTGTCAAAATTGCTTCCTCTGTTGCTCAAGTTGCTACTAAGTCTGACAGCAACATTTGTAAGAAAACTGCTTCCTATGTTACTCAAGTTGTTACTAAGTTTGACAGCAACATTTGTATCATAAATGCTTCATCTGTTGTTCAAGTTGTTAATAAGATTGAAAGCAACATTTTTTATCTAAAATGTACCCACTGTTGTTCAAGTTGTTGCTAAGTTCGACAGCAACATTTGTGTCAACTCTTCATCAGACACACTCAAATCCCTGCATGAACCAGTGGCACAGCTTAGTTCAACAGCTAGCACATGCTTACACTGTGGACATTAAAAAAAAATCCCTAAGCCTGTAAATAATATGTATCAAATAAGAAATTAATCAAGTTAACTCATTTACAAGAAATTCTGTGAGGTCCCAGATCAAAACTAGTTGTATTGCGGATACAATTTATTTATTATTTATAAATAAATATATAGGCCTCTATATTATATATATATATATATACAGTATATACATATATATATATATATATATATATATATATATACACACACACCCCTGTGTGGTGTAGTACTGTAGTAATAAAGTACAATTGATTTTCTGAATAACTTACCATTGAAACATCCTTTTTCTTCAAAACTTGAAAAAACAAAAAAAAAAGTCAAAAATTATTGTAAATAAAATATATAAATATAATGAAAATAAATTCATACATACATAATAATTTTGGAATTGGGGGTTGGAACATTCATTCATTCACTTGTTCATTTATTTATATATTCATCCATTCATTTGTTTATTCAAGTATAAATATTATCACTGCTTTGTTCATCATAAAATAGCCGGAGATACAACTTACAAAGTAAGTTTTGGTTTTTTTTAATGAATGTTGTTCTTTGAGATTGGTTTTCCCCCAAAAATATCTTACCTGAAAACACATATGCAGGGCAGGAGCAGAAGTTTGAAGATGCAAAACAAGTGTACAGCTTACCAGAACTTCCACATACCTGCAGATGACAAGTTAAATTAAAAAATATTAACAGTATGATGATGATGATGACCACCACTAAGGCTGATAATGCTTTAGTAAGTAATATGCTCTATAAACTAAAGCCACAATCGCACTGGATTTTAAAATGAAAAGATAGTCTCAATTTGTGGTTTGAAATTGGAGTTGCTGTCTTGAGATAAAATCCTGCTATTTGCAGGATTCGAACCCACCATCTAACAGCAACCATCAAGGTACATGCAAGCTGGAGATAAGTTTAGTTACATTTCTTTTGTTTAATAAAGTAAATATTCTCTTTATAAAAGTACCATATTGAACAAAAAGAGTTAAAAAATCCAATGCAACTAAAATTTTTACCTGAAAAACTGTTCGACCAGCAGGACATGTGACTCTAGTGACATTTTTCCGATCAACAAGATCAAATGCTTGTAATAGAGGACGTTGCTGCACAAAATTCAAACTGGAGTGAAAGCAAAGAATTTTGTTTTCAGAGGACCTAAAAACCTGTCTGAAGGGCTTTGGGTGCCTTTGTATGCTGTACAAAAGAATTTCAGTATTAAATACTGAACATCTCAAAAAAAGATATTGGTACTTACGCAGAAAGTAGCTGATCACTCACTGAAAAATAAACAGACATGGTCATAAGTTTCAAAAAGCAAGTAGGCCTACTCTTGCCTATTGTGAATCTTAGGAAGTGGTATTTTATAGAGAGAAGAAGGGGTAACATTTTTTTTTAAGGATTTCAACCTAAAATATTTTGGGGTCCCCACTGGTTCTTAACCTTTCATTATTATTTCCTCTTCCACATCCTCCATATGCAGACTTCTCACGTTCATAAAATGCATTTTTGTAACTGTCTTCAGATTTCAGTATTAAATGAAAATGTCCGTAGCACCTAATAATTTGCCTTGAGTGTAAGGTATAAGTTGCTCAAAATTGCAGGTACTGTACATCTAATGTAGAATTGGACAAACTGGACGGGATGAAGATCTATAGGTAGGCCTAACTTTTTTAGGATGATCGAGCCCACTTTCTTTGGGCCCGATTGTCTGTAATTTGATGTGGAATTTCAAACGGGACATGATGTAGATCTACAGGCCACTTTTCCTTAGTTTTCTCAATAATTTATCAGTAAACTGACAAGTATGAGTTAATGTAACCAAAGATTTTGATGGAAAAGGCATTTGATCTGGACTTTAGATCTTTTATGGGTCTAGGCCTATAATAAATTTCTGTGGTATATTTATTTACTTTATTTCTGTACGTCCGTAATTAGGCAAATTTCCGTAGAAAATGGGCCTAACTACGGAAGTTCTGTAGTACTTGAGAAGTCTGCATATGCCCCATTCAAAATGAATAATGATGGAGTATTTTATACAGCATGTTTAAAGTTTAATTTGTGGGCGGGTCGATTGGCCAAGCGGTTAGCGGGGGCGCCGCAAGCTATAGCCATAATATCGGCGCTGGTTCGAATGGCACGCTCGCCTATGGTTCTGGTGGTAGAAGGCCCAGTGTATACAATCGCTTGTGTGCACTATAAAGAACCCAGTACATCTTTCGAGGCGAGTGGGGGATACCCCGGTCTACTTTAACAGACAGCCCCTGTGGTGGACAAACAGAGTTGCTGGTACCGGGTTACCGGGTAGCACAGACACGAAGGGACCCTTAGGGGCGAAGAAGTCATTGATCGAGTTCCTAGTCCACATATCAAGCGCCCTGAGCATCTTACATTAGATGGATATGTGTGCTATTAAAACTACACTATTATTATTATTATTATTATTATTTATTATATTCAGTCCTTACATGGATTGTGGTTCTTGTAAGCAGTCTTAACCTGCAGGATCAATTGCATGTGAACATCATTTAATAAACTCATCTTCTGAAAAACAAAATAAAAATATTAATCATAATAATGTATAGGCCTATAATAAAATACTGTAAAACCTCAAATAGAAACCCAATGGGTTTAAGATTGAGAAGAAGCCCATCATGAATTGAAGCCCCTCTTTAGTTTGCAAAATTAGCCACGAAAAGAAGCCTGTATCGGAAAGAAGCTAGTATGGGCTTCTTTTTGAGATAGTAAAGCACATAGTACTACTGTAATTATAAGAAACAAATATTCAAAAAATCATGCTTGGTTGTTTACACAATAATTTAGGTGACTTAATGCCAGTTAATATACTCTATGATACACACAGATGTTTCAGTGGCCATATTCATTGTTTTATAGTAATAATTCCCAAAATGTACAGCATACACTTTGAAAAGAAGCCCCACCCCCACTCTTTACTTTGCAAAAGTATAGCCTAGGCCTAGGCCTAGCCTCGAAAAGAATCCCATCCAAAGTTAATTAGTTGGCTTCTTTCTATATAATTCAAGGTTTTACGGTATAAAATGTAATTACCTTTAAAAATAGAAGCAATCCAAGTCAATAAAAAAAAAGCTATTATATAGCTAGCCAAGCCTGGTCTAGGCCTAGCCCAGGGCCTAGTGCGGGTGGGGTGTGGGAAGAGAATCAGATCATTCCTAGCCAATCCATGCGACCCTCTGTGTCTAACCAATATAGATAGGCCTAGGCTACCTGATAGGTCTAGGCAGATATTGCTTCTCTTTAGGCCTAGCTTCCCTATGAATTTACTGGCTTAGACACAGACCTTAGTTTCTGTTGTTTTTTTTTTAAATCTATATTATGAATACAGAGTGCTAATTAATATATCTTCTCAGCCATCTGAAAACTTGAAAGACAAAAACATCAAAAATGTTTTAATTCAATAGGGGGCGGGCTATTCTACGAGACCAGATTGTTTACAGTTTCTAGAGTGACACTTCCGAAATTTGTTGTTTTCTTCATTTCTAAATTCGGTAGTTTTTAATTGCGAACAAAACATGGTTGAAGAAGTTGAATCAGATTTTGGAACAGCGTATTATCGCTCGAACGATCCAGTAAATAATCTAAAAATAAAGTGAGTTTTAGTGTAGTTTCATTTGCATGAATCATAGGCCCATGGCATGTGTGGATTGAGTTTCTTGACACTGGATAGCCGATGCAGGATGCGCGTGAAGCATTTGTGTCAGCTACCCGGCGATATTTCAGCTACGGCTGGCCTAGCCTATTCTCTCTCTTAGACAATAATCAGTGCGTCACGTGCGAAGCCTTGATTTTGACATGACAAAGAAAACCAAAATGTTTTTAACAAGGCAACACAAATGTACTAATATATAGGCCTAGGGTAGGCCTAGGCCTATCTTTAATATTGAGAAGTATCTAGGTACCGGGCCAACACTTTTGTTAGAATGAGATCTTTAGACTAAGACTTTAGTATTACGTTTCTTAATTTGATAGACTTGATTGTATATCATGGTGTTTTTCATAGGCCTATTTTTACTACTGTTACTATCAGATGCTTAAGCTGTAATACACAGCCCATATACACATTAAAGAACATAGTTCCCTTCTCAAAAAGGAAGTAGATTACGTGACCGTAAACAAATCAGTAAAATAAATAACGCATGCACAGTTATACTTTAATAAACTTGCATCATCGGTTATCAATTCTGGTTAAATGTACGTTAATGTGAGTTTAACCGAAGAATTAGATTTAACTTTCAGCACTCGAATGTCGGCCCAAGCCACTGTGCCCAAGCTTACCACGGCACTGATTTAATTATAATTTTTTTTTTTATTAAACATGATTTAATTTCTACTCTGTAGGCCTGCAGTTTAATCATTAAATAATTTATTTAATCATTGTGTTAACTTTTCAAATAAAAGTGATATTATGAGCTGGAAATATCTGTGTTCTTTTCATTTAACGCATGTTATTTGTTGAATGAACACACTTGATGACGTACAATACTATGCCTACTGTAGCCTACGCCAAAACACAAAGGTTCCCTGCTAAAACTAGCACTCAATTACAACGAAATCAAAATGATTGATATTTTTCTAGACCTAAGCCTCTATTGTTGTACGATAGTCGATCATCATAAAATAAATAAAATTTTAATGTTTTCATTCAAACACATTATACTGACGTCGTCACTAACCAAAATAACATCGTTAACATAGTCTTTAGTCGGGTCGAGCCCCGATTGAGCACAAAAACTCCTTTATTTCTACACAAAATTGTTTGGTAAAGTTAATGAAATTTAACATGACTATAAACACTTACATGTTTGGGTGATTTGATTTGCATACGCTGGATTCACAGTAACTTGCCAACAAAAGTCAGTGCCGTGATGAGCTTAGGCTCCGCGGCTTGGGCCGACGCTAATTTCAAGTGCTGAAAGTTGAACTCAACATACATTTAACCAGAAGCGATTAATTTACATGACCAATAATGCAAGTTTATTAAAGTATGACTGCGCATGCGTTATTTATTTAATGTAAATATATCGTTTACTGATTTGTTTACGGTCACATGAATATATCCCCTTCCTTGAAAATACAAAATGGGGATTATCTCTCGATGTACAGCCCAATTTACCAACAAAATGACCCCACTGGAATTGAGTTACAAAATTACTGTTTTGTTTTAGAGTGAGGTTAAAGAGAGTAACAGGTGCTGGACTTGTGCCATCAGCTATTGGATATGAAGGTCAAGACAAGGATGAATTGGGCATGGAGATGAAACCAACCAAGAGTAAAAAGACACCTGCTGCTGGTAATATATAAACACAAAGCCCATCATTTTTTTTAATAAACCCTTACTTAAAGATTGATTATTTTTTTCAGAGACAGACAACTAAATGATTAAAATTATGAATTTAAATATTTATAACAAATATTTTTGAATAATATAACATTTTTTCAATATTTATATGTTCTTCAACATTAATTGTGTTTTTCATTACACATCATTTCCTCATTAGCAGTATTAGAGCTGCACTTATAGTTGTTAATGCTCTGCATAAAACATGATGATAATGCTGAAATTTTAGAGATTCTAAACACAGAGTTTCCAAAATCTGCTCAAAGGTTACTGAACAAAAGTTACTGAATAAGAAGATAATTGTGGTGACAGCAATAAGGTACATAATAGTTGATGACGATATTTTCATTTTTTTTTTTTTTTTTTTTTTTTTTTTTTTTTTTTTTGATGATGAAATTTTCTTTTTTTTTTTTTTTTTTTTTTTTTTCATTTTTTTTATCTAAAGCTCCTTGTATGATCATAACAATGAATTCTAGATGGTATTAATGGATGTAGCTATGGCAATAAAAAGTGTTTGGTATAAGTCTAAAAAGCATGGGCAGCTCAAGACAATTCATGTTTTAAGTAATAATTTACTTGAATACTAATTAAAATATTACTTTTTACTGTAAACTATTATTACAGGGGAATCGCGTCAGGACGACACAGAAGAGTATACATTCAAATGGCAAGAAAAGGTGTTTAGCCAGCAAGAGATGGAAATATATGCAGACATCAACAATTGTATCACACCAATCGATGAGGAGTATCATGCCCAGGTCAAGGAGATTGGGAAAAAAGGAGGACGGAAAAACAAAAGGATGTTCTGTTACGTTGATCATGATAGGTTTACCAACCAAAATGAGGTACAAATGAGGTTATAGAAATTGAAATGTATATCTATATATATTTTTTGTTTTAAATAGCAAAACTTAAGTAGTATTTTGTGAATACATTTAGCTTTTATTCCTTTTCTTAATTGTATATTCCAGCAAAGTTGTTGGGCGAGGGTGGGATTTTGTAGACAAACCAGTACAATATTTTTGATTGATGATGTATTTTGAGAAGTGTATATAAAAGTATACTGTATAATGAAGTTTGTGTTGTTCTTATCGTGTCCAAACACTTACTAGGTACTTTGATTCAGCCAAGCTAGACAAACAATCATTGTACTCTGCCAGCTACAAGTAAATATTGAGTCGATCTTGTGTCTTGTGTATGGTAGTGGTAGAATTAGCATTAACTGGGGCTGCAACAGAAACGCTTCTACCATGACTGTGCTGTAACAAATAAAAACTAAAGTACACATACTCCCATCTTAAGTCTGCCCCAAACAGACTGTCATTCCATACTTGACAATCAGGAAGGGTCACAAACATCCAATGGAATCTGCCATGAAGTGCAGTCAACCGGAGGCAAATGCTCCCTTCACTGTATTTTCAAGATAGAAATATTTTTTACATTCTTGTTGTTATCCAGATTACTTTAGTTACTACAAATGCAAATGAGAAGCCATCATTCCTTGCTGAGAAAATGCAGAATGTAAGAAGACGGCGAACAAAGCAACTTCCTGGGAATGTGTAGGTTTAGTGCACAATTGTATTTTTAACTTTTACACAATTTGTTGCTGACAATGCAGACCCAGTGTTTTGACTTATTTTGTGAATTATTATAATTAGGCTAACATTAATTGTGTTAACATTCTAAAATTAAATAAACATAAAAATTAGAAATGAAATGAAAGTAAAATATTCTATGTTTTGTGATGAGAAAAGCTTGCTCCACATTATGGTGCAAAAGTAATTATCCTGTAATAAGATACATAGTTTCACTTTATTTGCATTTTTGTATTATTCAGTGAACGCAAACTGAGAGCAAGAAATAATCTTATTATTGAAAGACCATCAGAGGAACACCAGAAGAGTGCTCATGTTGTCAACACTCCTGCACACATGATGTACATAATGGCTACGCTGAATGCACAGGGAGAGTAAGTTTAAATTGGTAGTCTATGTAGAATATTATAAAATGTTTGCTGCCCTCTTCAGTCTGAGAGGCAAGAATTTAATGTTGTTTACTGCCCTCTATAGTTTAATATTTGCATAAACTCCTGCTGACCTACTGAATACAATGCATGATTGTGGCGGGAATAAGGCAAATGATCCTGAGCAAGCTCAACCACGTTAGTTTAACGTAATAAATCAATCAATCATGAATCTGCCTCTTACAACACATTCAAATTTAAATACAAGACAAGATTTCATTAAAATATCGTTACTTATATGTATAGTTCTTACATAAATTATAATGTATTCTGTATTCGTCACATTTAAATTCAAAAAAAAATCATACTTAAGGTAAAATAATGATATAATCAAATCTAATTATTATGTATTTTTGTTTTTTTATTAATTAAAATGTTTACAGTATAAATTTTCACTAATCTTCATTTAAAAATTTGAAGATAAAATCGTAAAAGCTAAAAAAATTATTATTATTATAATCAAATCTAACTGTATATTTGTCCTTTTATAAATTAAAATTATATACAGTATAGACTTCATATTAAAATTTAAAATTTAATATATTTTTCTATTTTCAAATCAATTATAATGTATTTCAAATTTGTTTTAAAATTCATTCAAATATTGTAAAAAAAAATCCAAAAATATTTCTTCTTGTTATTTGTAAATTGCTTGCTTTATGATAAATTCATGGACCATTTGTTAGAACATATTATTTTTTATGAAAATGTTATCCATGTAAAATATGTTTGTCAATAAATAAATAAATGTTATTCTTTCATATCATTCCTCTTTTACATTGACACACTAATCATCTACTTTACACCAGTCCATTACCAAATGTTAAGATAGTAAAAGTCACTATTATGTTTATCACTTGATAATGAATATGTTGTGCCATGCGGATAGAATGAAACTTACTATTATTATGTGTTTTTAACCTCTTTCTTTCAAATTTAGTGAACCAACTGAGAATGATGATTATGTACTGTGTACAATAAAGGTAAGTAATCCTATGAACAAAACATTTTTCATTTCATTTTATGAAAACAATTTAGTAGATCATGATATCTATGTAATCATTCCCAATGTTGGTGTACACTATTACTTTCCAAATAGAAGAGACACTGCAGCTTTTAGCATTTTTTGTCTAAAAAGATCTAAAATACATATTTCCTTGGTTAAAAGTCATTTTCATATTTTTTAAAAATTGTAAAAGAGCTCTTTTAATTTAATAAAAAATTAAAGATTAAAACAACAAAAAATGTTTTATTGTTAAACAAAATATACAAAGTAGATAGCCAAAAGTTTAAATTATTGCATTACAGAAAAAATGACTTTTTATTTGTTTCCTTGTTCATGTTTTTAAATATGCTTTTTGCATCTTAAAAAAAATCATGTCTTAGAAAAAATCATGATGATGTATATATTACATCCACAATATGATAGTGTAGACAAAAGCATTAAGGCCAACTTGTAGGATGTTGTAGTGTTGAATGTACTTTGTCTGTGTTCTGTAAAATTGCTGTAAACATAGGTACATTTTCCTGGTAGAGTAGAAGTTTGCACTATGTGCCAGTTAATGTGTCTTGGTAATGAACATTAATTGAATCAAGTGTAATCAGCGTACGTGCTAGCATAAGGCATCATCTTTCTAATTTCAGTTTCAATTTTAATGGTTATGGCTTTGTACCAATAGTCAATAAGCTTTACAGTTCTGTAATGTCTATTGTATAGATTCCTAAACTGTATACACCAATTCATTCCATGGGAAACTGTGTCTGATTACAAAGACTACATTTCTTCTCATAAACTTTAGGATAGAACAAATTAAGGAGGGATTATTATTACAGTTCTTCTGAATATCAGAATGCTATAAAATGTGTCTCTTTTTGAGATCTTCCCTTATGCACAATATGTATAGTTCCACCCCCATCCCCCACTTCTCCAACATGATATATATGGCTGGATTCTAACCTTGTACGCTGATTGCTCTAGTACATCATAGTTACCAACCGTCTTGCATCATGAGGGACGGTCCCGCATTTCAAAGTGATTTTGGATGAAACACACATTTTGCAGAAACACATGCATGATCATAAATTTGTCACACATTTAGCAAAGGTCTATGCATGATAACGAATTACCACGAATTGAGGGGAAAATGTATTTAAAATTAGAATAAATTGGTTTTATTCAAAATATAAAAATGATCATGCAGTAACTTAAGTCATTAGAGAGCTTTCGTTATCTTGTTCGAGAATCAATTCAGTTCAATTCAGACAATTTCTCTTTCCTGACCAAAAGAACCCAGCCAACCATGCACTTAGTAGAATCTAGCCGGGGTTCTGCCCCTGGACTCTAGCGTCCCCCCCCCCCACCCAAATGGTGTAGTCACGCATTTCAAATCTCAGGTTGGTAACTATGAGTACATGATCCTGTTATATATTTTTATATTCCTTTAACAAGAGTTATTTGCTTTGATTTTGTAACAATTTGGTATCAGTTTTTCTTTTAGAAATTAATTAACAGACTGTTGCCTGTCCATATTATAGTTCTGCAAGGTATTAGAAATTCAGAAATAATAATAAAGTAAATGAACGCACAGATTTTATGGTATTCTGATTTCTAAAAGCTGTTTTTTTTTTTCAAAACCTACTACTATATACTGAAATCCAATGAATTAAATACTCATACTACTCAACATTCTCAGCAGCTAAACATTTATTTTAAGATTAATACATTTAGACTTTTAACATGTATCATTGAAGAAAACTTAAGTATATAATTAGACTTCAAAATATGAAAGATGTCTTGTGGAAGAAATCAAATTTTGTGTATGAATTTTAAATTTATATTTGTGTTGTTGTAGTCACGTATATTTGTCATCTTTATACCACGTTTAATATTTCTAAATTATTTCCTGGATTAGTTTATATTGTATTACAGTCCCTTGAGATGTATATTTTGGTATTAGAAGAATGAAACAACACAAACATTAGCAGCCAGACAGTTTCTATTTTAGCCACACTAATCTGTATTATTACCATAGAAAGCTAAGTTTGTAGAAACACTAATACAGGAAAAAGATGTGCACAAGAATAACTGTTTCACAATTTTCAAAGCTCTATATATAACAAGATAGCAAAAAACTCAAATAATACAGATAGAAAATTGCTAGAGTATAACAATACCATAATTCTTGAGGCTATTTACCGAAATAGAAGCTAGAGGATAACAATTTTTTATAATTCCTGAAGCTCTAATTATTGAAACAAAGTAAGACTTAAATCAGATAGAAGATTGCTGGTGTATAACAATTCCATAATCTTTATTTTCAAAACTCTATTGAACGAAATAGAGTAAAGATCTATTTAAGATTGCGTGCTCAGTCTAATCGTAGATAAAACATGTAAAATTATTAGCATGCGCTCAGGAAGATTTAACCGAGTCACACTTCACAGCCTAGATGTTATTCCTGGGCAATTTTTACTCTGTAAAACTTGCTGCACCCTGTGACTAATTTGACCAAGGAGAATGTTACATAATTAGTACGCACTGATTTTTTTTGTTGTCAAAGTGATCAGGTACAGTGGTGGATTCAAGGGGGTCTAGCTTGCCAGAGGTCCTTCCTCAGCCATTATTTTATGTATATATTTGATTTTAATGCGAAATAAGATACCAAGATATATATAATTCCTGGATCTGCCACTGACGTACATGATTAGTTTGACTAGAACTAATTTAATGCGAACATGGCTTAGAACTCAAATAGTAAAGACATTTTCTGGAGCATCATAACAATCATTTCAAAAGCTCTAGTTACCGAAATAATTGACTTATAGATTAAAGATTTGCTGGAGCTTAACAGTTCCATACTTATCAAGGATATATTATTTTTCTAATGAATTTAATAATAATAATTACAGTAATAATAACTGTAATATATATACACTAACCTACTGTAGTTTTAATATTTGTATTGACTTTCTCTAAAATGTTTAATTTGTAAATTGTATATTTCAACATAGTTTAGTAATTGACCTTTCCACTAAGCCCCCTCCCTCTTGAAAATTGTTACAAATTCTCTCAAAAGAACAATGTTAAAACATACGGAAATATGTGTGTTTGTGGGACATGCGCGTATCACTGGCCTTGTTCTTGTTGGTCAGTTGTCAAGTTTGATACTCTGGAAGGGTCTATTTTATATTGTATAGTGTTAAATATTAATTTCAGTTTATGTAATTGTAAATAATATAAAAATAAATCTAATTGTAAATATTAACAATAAATATTGTGTTTTAGAATGTTTGTCCCATTCATCGAAATAAAAAAAAAACATTTAAAAATAAAGAACACAAATGATGGTCGAGACTATTTTGACTCATGAACCCAAATTAAAACAAAAATATTAATATTGTTACAGCAGTAGAATTGTATTTGAGTGCAAAAGGAACCGAGTACGAAGCTTGTATATATCATTGCTTGTGCCCTTAGGTGAAACACTTACCTCTAATTAACCTCATCCTTTGAATTGGCATGTTAAGTCTTTGATCTTGTGTGCGTAATATTAAATGTGCAGTAAATTGAACTTGGTACATTATTTGAAAGTGTCGCAGGTTGTCTCCTTGTGTACTGCACTGTCACAATCTTTAAATCGAATGAAATTAAGAGATTTAGTCTATATTGGTAACAGCATTACTTGATTTTTTTTAGTAATTTTTTGCTTTCCTTTAATTTTCTCCTTCTTTGCCATGGTGTCGAAATGACAGTTTCCATCCCAATAATGTTCTTTTCTAAGTTTTATTTCTTTTGTGTATGTTTTTCTCTCCTGATTCTTTACTCCAAAATGTTAAAAACAATTTTTTCACCATAATAACCTTGGACATTATTCAATAAATCCTATATTGAATTGAATTTATGATACATTGACATTTAATTTTTCTACAGGTTGATATCAATGGCGTTATTAGTATAAATCCAGATTTCAATCTCCAGCGGCCTCCTTATTCTATCACAACAGAGTCTGCAAAACGGGACACTTTTGAATATAGCATACAGCTCGTCTCAAAAACCATGAACCATGTCGAGCAGGACCGTGAGCGTCGTATGATACGTGAACTATACGTTCGACATGCCGAGATTGTTAATTCTCAAGTTGGTAGCGATTTTGAGCAAGTATGTGTAGAATTTTTTTTTTTTTGTAAAGATTGTTTTTTCATCCACATCGTTGTTACAAATTATAGGAAGGAAAGGAATTCTATCAACATTTGAAATCCTTTCCTTTTCCATTGAAGCTTTTGAGGATGCTCCGAAGACATTTATTTTCATTGTATTTTTATCTTTTTCAGTGACATACATTGCTCAGTTCTTACATCATTGTTCTAATGTATTGATTTTTAATAATGTTTTGTGTATGTCATTTTTAACATTTTTATAAGCCACCTTACAGCTAACTACACAGCCTCCAAACAATCTAACCCTCGCATACGGGGAAGAAAAAAGAGTATAAACGATCATGATGATGATGAAAAACTTTAATGCCATTTTTATAAGACTTGCGACATTGTTTTTGTATCATTTTAATGTAAATTCGATTACTCATTTCCATTTTTGTTTTTTTGGTTTTTAAAAATTACTATTTAATGAAATATTTTTCACCATTTCTTTTGCACCATTTTTATGTGAATATTGCTACTGCTGAAATTTTATGAAAGAAACCTTAAACATAATTTTTTTGAAAAAATATGATGTCACAAAACACACCCGTTCTTGCAATCGTCCTTAGCTAGTCAACGGAAGATTCAACAAAATACGTTAATTAATTATGTCTCACAAAATACCATTTAATAACATTTCACCATCATTACATAGGAACCAGCATAACAATATCTTGAGTATACCACCGGTGACTTCCCTCGGATACTTTCCGAATTACAATACAACAAATTGGTTCAAACAAGTCAACGACCACACCGTTCCATGTAGTCCTACGATTCTCCTTACACATAAACTTGCTCAAAGTATCCTTACAAAACATCAAAACAGGCCAAAGCCACCACACACTGGGTTTTAATTTTTTTGGATTTAATGCAACCATCAAGCTGCAAAAGCCACAAAATTTTCAGAAATTAAAATATCTTCCATCCAGCTAGACATTATGTTGTTTCGTCTTTTAGGTGACCCACGGTGTTCTTCGTCTTTTTGTGATCGGCCAGATTGTGTCTGCCTACAACTTTGATTATGATAACTTATACGTTCACTACTTTGTGGAGTTGCCAGGAAGTGAGTTTATTTTTTGTTACCATTTACTCGTATCTTGAAACAGTGTAACCAATGAAATATAAACAAAGTGGGGCCCAGACAGTGTCTCCCTACATAATGATAATACTTTGCATTGTTTTGAGAAGGTTTCTGTTGGAAATGTTAGATTTTCAAGCAAACAGAAAATTGATGTGGGCACCTAGAAGGCAGTGGTGGTGCCAGGATTTTTCCAGAGGGGGTGGGAGGCAATTTCCTCAATGGGAAGGCAGATTTCCCTGATGATGCAAAGTGGTCAAACTTGCTAGTAATCAAGGCCTTGTAGAAATCTAGTTAAAATGCAGCTCAACTGCTGATGCTGCTGCAGTTACTGCTGCTGTTTCTACTGTTGCTGCTGCTACTAAATATGAAATATGGTTCAGCATTAGTATAGCACATACTGTATTCTAGACTGCTGATTGTGCAATTTACTCAGCTCATAATTCTTTGCTTATGATAATTGCTCATTTGCATAATTAGTGAATTCGTAAATTACATTGGATACATTTCAACCATTCTTTAACTTAAATTTTCTTTAAATTTTGGTGTGGGATGTGGTCAATTTAGGAAAAGATTAATCACTTTAAAGTGTTTCTAAATTTGTTCGGAACTAGTGGGATTAAATGAGCATTAACCAGTTAAATGTAGTAATTATACAAGCTTTGGTTTAAAAATGACCAATATGCAAAGAAAAATTTTGCTTGGCCATACTAAAGAGAACCAATAATTATCATATGCGTTGAATTTACAGTCTGTATTTCATTATACACACAGCTAAATGTAAACCCTTTTGCCTGTCTAGTCTAGCCAAGTAATCCTAGGTCATTTAGTCAGTAATGTATAATTTCCTAATGTCAAGCTATTGAAGTTTAATAGAATGAAATGTTTAATGTAAGCCAAATATAAATGTTCTACACTTAGCAGCATCGATGGTATACACTTTTTGATAGACAATCAAAAGATGTTCCGCTTAAGATCAATTTTGAAGAGACATTTTAAAAGGAAGAATTTTTTTTAACAAAGAATGTTTTACTGTTAGTTGACAAGAATGACATTTTAACATGCCAGCAAAGCAAATGATGTACAGCGTAAAAGGTAAATCATTTTCAAAAGACATTTTAAATACATGAATATTTCAATAGGTTCATCCAAAAGCCTTGTCCAGACTATCAAATTATAGTTGACAAAAACATGTGACATGCCTAAATATGGTCATGATGACATCACATTATATATATCATATCACAAATTAACATAATAAAGTACATTGTGTTAGTTTGTGAAAACAAAAATATATTAAAATATGTGCTGTTGCTGTTACAGACTTTTTGTGTGCTAAAGAGTTTACAAAAGTGCTTGGCAACCAATACATGCTTATTTTGATGCCAACTATAACACAACCTGCTTTGATTGTGTTATTTTGTGATGTGAGCAATGATATAGGCATATCATGACTATACAGTACAGTATATGGGCATACAACAGCGATGATATAGGCATACCATGACTATACAGTATATGAGCATACAACAGCGATGATATAGGCATACCATGACTATACAGTACAGTGTATGGGCATACAACAGTTTTTTTGTCAAAGATAATTTGATAAGCTGGAAACAGCTTTAAGACCAGCGTATCTAGGGGGTGCTGGGAGTGGGGGGGTGTGCACCCCCAAAAAATTACTTTCCCCCCCCCCCCCCCCCAGTCACCTCCAAAAATCAGGGTGAAGTAGTTACCAATTCACCTTCACGCCCCTCCATCAGAACCCCCATTTCAAGACTCCTAGATACGCCAATGTTTAAGACGCAAGGGACTACCAAACATCCAATATCTGATAAAAAATATGGAAAATTCCTAATCTCAATCAATCATACAACAGTACAAGAAAAATAACGAAAGAATGAATAATCATTTAACCATACATGAACATACCTTTGCTCAGCTCTTGAAATATATCCTGGAATGTTTTAAAAGGAAATATATTGTCATCATTGGTCAATAGATAAAAAATATTGAGGTTCTTATTATCAATTCATTTAGGGAATTAGTGTAATCAATTAAGTGTGAGCCATCTAAAAAAAATTCAATTTTGTGTGACCGGATGAGTTCAGTAAACCCGAGTCGTCGACCTACACTTATGATCCTTACTTAAACTGATGCAACTTGTAAGTGCTGCTATGATGACCCACCGTTTCCGAGAAGATCTGTAAAAGGATTTGATAAGACATCGAAAGAACACTTTCTTGCTAATGAATGAGGATTTCTAATAAAAGCTAAACATTTTTTTGTGATTCATGAAAACCATTAGCAGTGGAATAACTATACACTACTACACAACAAAATATAAAATTTCAAAAATTGTTATCTATTTTGTTTTCATCTTACGTCAAGCGATTGAAAACAATGTCTTAAATTATAAATTTTGAGTTTGTAGCATCTTATTATGTGCTGCTTTTGCACTTTTTCCTTGTGAAATTTTTAACTTAAGAACAAAATAAGAATACCTTAATATCGGTTACAAAAATTCCTTTATGCATTTCCAATTTATAGCAGTATAAATAAGAATGGAATGTAGAAATTGATAGAAAGAACACTCAACATCGACATTTAATCAAAGATATTGAAAATTTCTGATTACTAAGCTGTTGCCGATATTTTGAAATGAACAGTAAATAAACATACACTGTTTCAGATTAGTCTAAACTGTCTTACATTAAGTTTTTAAACTCATCCGGATATTAAAATTCGAACTAAATAGCTTCTTATCCATAATGATATTAAGAAACTTATTCCGGCCATCTTCATATCCGCATTATAATCCCATACATCATTAAATGAAGTGGTTTTTCACTTTGTTAATGCTTCATCTGTGGATTTTCAAATGTGTCATATTTATTAATATTTTTCAATATTCATGCACTTGGCACTTTTTTGAATTCAGTGTTTTTGATTATTAATAATGACAATTTAATTTTATTGAATTCTAGCTTTACATAATTTCTGTCGCAAATTTTTAATACTATATTATGAACAAATAAATAGTTAATATATTGAACTAGAAATTGCAATTTGCAAGTGAAGTACTGCGAAGTACAACTGCATATAAATGTTCTTCGAACAAAATTATTTATGCGAGTCAAGTGAAAATAATTAATAATAAAAATATAACAAATAATATGAGACACGACCCCATTGTCTATATTAGAACACTTCTCATTGGGTAACAAAGTCGTAATTTTTCATTTTTGTCAAAAAGTGTCTATAGTGGTGAATTATGGTTTAGGTTTTTTTTAATAAAGTTTCAAAAATTTCTATGTATGTGGAAAATGTACTTGATTACCAAAGGCTACAATTTTTATTTTGAAGACTGCATGGTCTAGGAAGTGTACATTTTTTTATGGGGCAAGTTTCCAAGGGTGGGTTTTCTAGGGGCGAGTTGACTGCAAAAGAGTGTTGCCAAAGTGCGAGCCAGCGTGTTATTTGATCACAAGTGCAAGACATCGCAAGTGTGAGCCAGCGAGCCATGACGTCACGACAATAGATACAAGACAGTTGTGCGAGGTATCAGCTGAGATTTGTGGAGTACAATTCAAAAAACAACTATAGGTCTAATAATGAATTATTGTGATGTTAAATAGACAATTTTAGCTATCAAGGAGCGACGTTGCTTTTCATTGGGACCTTTGTCCCTTCAAGCCTAAGCCTATACCATCCTAGCTAGTCTAGGCCTAGAGTAGGATAAGGCTAGCGCGACATGCGGACGTTGGTACGTGTTGGTTAGTCTACAAACGTCGCCTAAAGTAATTGATTTTACCCGGCAGAACGAAAGAAGGAAACTCCGCTTTTCAGTCGTCTTAGGCCCTTGTTGTTGACAAACAATGACCTTTCAGAGGTCAAATTGCTGTCAAGAATATGAATTGGCTGCTTCGCAGCAATTAAATAATAGTAATAATAATTTGGAATTATTTTAATTTTAATTTTTCCTTGATCAGATTTGCCCAATAGGTTTGTCAATATACTTTAAATGTGATACTGATTCATTGTTATTCAGTAAGATAAGATAAACTTGATTTTGGGCAAGGTTTCTTGATGTACTATGAACTGTGACACTGTGAACATAGAGATACAGGTCTAATAAATAATGGGAAAAATAAAAAAAACTCTTTGTTATGTTATAAATATGAAAAAGTGTATTTGGAATTGATTTTTTTTTTACTTTGAATTTCCTTTTAATTGCACTCCTTTTCATTTTTCTATAATTTTCTGGAAAGTGCATAGAGGCTCTAGCAGTATGCGCTATACAAGGACAATTAATAATAATAATAATAGTAATAAACAAATTTATAAAAATAATTTGAAAATATTTTTACTAAAATTATTGCCAATGAATTTAACCAAAAAAAAGCATACTTTTAATTTTTCTAATATTATCGTCCTTTAGTACCTCAGGACGTTTTCAATCAATGTTGTTGCTGCTTCATATTAAAATATGTGCTTTTAGCTAGCTTTTAAAAGCAGCTCGAAGTCAGAGTGCAAATGAAAGGTGGTAATCCAATTCAAAGCAATAGAGAAGCAACCGGATAGCACATGAGTTACAGTGTAAAGTATAAATGATTCAGTATACGAATACCGCAGGATATACATGGATTGAACATCGTTTGGAAACATTAGGTTTTCAGACTCATTCCCCATTTTATAAAAAAGCATTTGATTTATTTTACTCAAAAGTCTTATTTTCAAAAGAAAATAATAAAAAACACTATAATCACATCATGATATATCATTGCAACATATATTAGGTATGCACATTATGAGAAAGTGTTGAGAGAGAGTCACAGTATATCCTTGAGTTGAACATTCTTTGTCAACATTATGTTTTCAGATCATTATATAAATCATATTCAGATTATTTTTCCCAAAAGTCTTATTTAAAA